ATAGCATGAAGACCAATTGCCTGACCCGCAGTCCGTCTTGCTCCTCAAATAATTTTCGGGTTAACATGAAAACGTCTCTCAAGTTTATCTCTCTAATGTTGTTTTCCCATCTTTCATTTAATCAGCTTAGTTCCTTTATTATGCCCCAATTACTCATCCATTGAGCGGTAGTTAAACTGAACCCAAATTTAAAAAAAGTTCCCTTTGCTAAGCAAGCTACAGTCTTGATAAGTCAGATATAGTGTTTGTTAACACATTTCTCAACAATGAACAGTCAGTTTTATCAAGCTAACATATCCTAACACAACGAGTGAGAGTATTAACTGGTCTAATTATTTTATTAGACCAGTATATACTATTAGATTATACTAGTATAATCTAGTATATATATATATATATATATATATATATGTCGTACCTAGTAGCCAGAACTCACTTCTCAGCCTACTATTCAAGGCCCGATTTGCCTAATAAGCCAAGTTTTCCTGAATTAATATATTTACTATAATTTTTTTCTTATGAAATGATAAAGCAACCCTTTTCTCTATGTATGAGGTCAATTTTTTTTTATTGGAGTTAAAATTAACGTAGATATATGACCGAACCTAACCAACCCTACCTAACCTAACCTAACCTATATTTATAGGTAAGGTTAGGTTAGGTAGCCAAAAAACGCTAGGTTAGGTTAGGTTAGGTAGGTTAGGTAGACGAAAAAACATTAATTCATGAAAACTTGGCTTATTAGGCAAATCGGGCCTTGAATAGTAGGCTGAGAAGTGCGTTCTGGCTATTAGGTACGACATATATATATATATATATATATATATATATATATATATATATATATATATATATATATGTCGTACCTAGTAGCCAGAATGCACTCCTTGGCCTACTATGCAAGGCCCGATTTGCCTAATAAGCCAAGTTTTCATGAATTAATGGTTTTTCGACTACCTAACCTACCTAACCTAACCTAACCTACCTTTTTGGGCTGCCTAACCAAACCTAACCTATAAAGATAGGTTAGGTTAGGTTAGGTAGGGTTGGTTAGGTTCGGTCATATATCTACGTTAATTTGAACTCCAGTAAAAAAAAATTGACCCCATACATAATGAAATGAGTAGCTTTATCATTTCATAAAAAAAAATTAGAGAAAATATATTAATTCAGGAAAACTTGGCTTATTAGGCAAATCGGGCCTTGCATAGTAGGGTGAGAAGTGCGTTCTGGCTATTAGGTACGACATATATATATATATATATATATATATATATATATATATATATATATATATATATATATATATATATATATATATATATATATATATGTCGTACCTAGTAGCCAGAACTCACTTCTCAGCCTCCTATGCAAGGCCTGATTTGCCTAATAAGCCAAGTTTTACTGAATTAATATATTTTCTCTAATTTTTTTCTTATGAAATGATAAAGCTACCCATTTCATTATGTATGAGATCAATTTTTTTTATTGGAGTTAAAATTAACGTAGATATATGACCGAACCTAACCAACCCTACCTAACCTATCTTTATAGGTTAGGTTATGTTAGGTAGCCGAAATCGTTAGGTTAGGTTAGGTTAGGTAGGTTAGGTAGTCGAAAAAACATTAATTCGTGAAAACTAGGCTTATTAGGCAAATCTGGCCTTGCATAGTAGGCTGAGAAGTGAGTTCTGGCTACTAGGTACGACATATATATATATATATATATATATATATATATATATATATATATATATATATATATATATATATATATATATATATATATATATATATATATATATATGTCGTACCTAATAGCCAGAACGCACTTCTCAGCCTACTATTCAAGGCCCGATTTGCCAAATAAGCCAAGTTTTCATGAATTAATGTTTTTTCGTCTACCTAACCTAACCTAACCTAGCTTTTTTTGGCTACCTAACCTAACCTTACCTATAAGTATAGGTTAGGTTAGGTTAGGTAGGGTTGGTTAGGTTCGGTCATATATCTACGTTAATTTTAACTCCAATAAAAAAAATTGACCTCATACATAGAGAAAAGGGTTGCTTTATCATTTCATAAGAAAAAATTATAGTAAATATATTAATTCAGGAAAACTTGGCTTATTAGGCAAATCGGGCCTTGAATAGTAGGCTGAGAAGTGAGTTCTGGCTACTAGGTACGGCATATATATATATATATATATATATATATATATATATATATATATATATATATATATATATATATATATATATATATATATATATATATATATATATATATATATATATATATATATATATATATGTATGTATGTATGAGTTTGTGTACATGTGTATACAACATTAATAATTTTGTAACTAGCGTCAAACATTGTTATTTGCTGAGCTAAACGAACTAGAGGGTTCAGTTCCTGAACCGATTATGTGCCTCTGTAATCCTTTACACCACCGATCACGGGATGGGTATGGGGTGCATAATAAAGAAAGAAATAGAAGAAATTGAAATTGCATAATACGGTTATTGACATTCAATAATAGTAAGATAAAGCAATGAGGACCAAATGGGAGACCAGTGATCAGATGAATATTACAGACTCAAGGGTAGCCTTCTCTTCTTGTATATAAATGAAAAAATAAATTCGTTTGTTTAATTCTAATGCTTGTAGGCGAGAACAGTTGTGAACGCCAGCTAGCGCACAAGTACATGAGCGCCCAAAATACTTTTACACAAAAGACATGTACAGACAGGCGTGTGGCTTCTGACTTCTTTTTTATTGATTAATATTAAATATTAGGCGCTTACCTATAATAATTGTCATTTTATACAAGAATAACTCTCACATAATAAATATAAAAAGAGTTTATCCAAAAACTGACAGAAGTGTTGTGTTTTGTGCGTTGTATCGTGTTTGTGGGCATTTGGGTGTGTTGTGTTTACGCTGGCGGGCGGCGTCCTTACCAACTCCGGATCATGTGTATTACATCACTAAATTTCATTTAATAACTATATGCCTGTTAAGTATAAGATTTTAATTGTTAATAGCATTATATTGTCGTTTTAATATGGAAACACGTACACATATGCGAAACGTCGAAAGCTGGTGTCCGAAGTGGTAAAAATATTAGTGTGCGATGTTGTCAATGTACGGAGTGTCTTGTATCCCCTCTGTAACCCTTTCCGCCACCGCCCACAAGATGGGTATGGGGTGCATAATAAATGAACTAAACTAACTCTACTATTTTAAACAATGCTGTTTGTTAACCAAATTGTATATTTGCTATTTTTCTGCCATGTTCTCCCCTTTTTTATTTTTTTTCATTTTCTCAACACAATTTATACTTTAATCTCAATTAAATCTCAGGGTCACATTCTAAATATATCAAAAAAAGTTTCAAAAACTGTTGGCATTCTTTCTAAGATCAGATATTATGTACCCCGCCCTGCCCTGGTTACTCTCTATTACTCCCTCATCTATCCATACCTCAACTGTGGTATTTGTGCTTGGGGTTCTACTACCCAAAATCATTTACGTCCTCTTATTACCCAACACAAAGCTGCTATTAGGACAATATCCAACTCTGGCCCCGGACATCACTCGGTACCCTTACTCAAATCTCTGAATATGTTAGATATTAAGTCACTGCACATTCTCTCTTGTGTATTATACATATATAAAACGCTGAACTGTAATGCCAATCCTGACCTCAAAAGCTTCATTGAAGGTTGTAACAGAACCCATGAGCACCACACCAGAAATAAATACAGTTTTGATATTCCTAGAGTACAACTTAATCAAACTAGAAATGCTCTACAAATCAAGGGACCCAGAATGTGGAATGACCTTCCCAACCATGTTAAAGACTGTACCTCTCTCAACCAGTTTAAGATAAAAACTAAACACTACCTAATAAATTCCCTGTAACCTACCTCACTCCTCTATTGCCAACCCATGTCTGTAATTTTTTTTTTTTTTTTTTTTTTTTTTTTTTTTTTTTTTTAATCAACACTGTTTGTAAACCTAGTGTATTTGTGCTGCTTTTTCAGTCATGTTCCCTCTTTTTTTTGTTATCTTTATTTGTATTTGTTCTCAACACTTTTTATTCTTTATGCTCAATTAGTATTAAGTTCTAGATATTAATGTTTTTCTTGCCCGAAACGCATTGCGTAATAGTGGCTTTAGGCATTGCATGTACTAGCTCTATCTATATATCAATCCATTAATGTAACATCACTTGTATGTATGTATGTACCTTACCTGAATAAACATATTTATTTATATTTATTTAATTAGTATTAAGTTTTAGTCTTAGTGTTTTCCCTGCCCGAAACGCTTTGCGTAATAGTGGCTTTAGGCATTGTATGTACTATCTCTATCTATAAATCCATCAATGTTATGTACCTCACCTTGAATGTATGTACTTTACCTGAATAAATATTTGATTTGATTTGATTTGATTTGAGAACAGCAGCGAACACACGCCAGCGCATATCTATATACGAAAGCGTTCGTGTTTCAACTGTCAGTCAGCGAACTGTTTTGTGTACCTAACCGACTTTATTCGAAACGGTTATAAACAAATCGACCAGTCCTCGCTGCCGCTCACCAGTGGTATAGTGCTGCTGTAGGAGGGTGAACACCTCTGGTATAGTGCTGCTGTAGGAGGGTGAACACCTCTGGTATAGTGCTGCTGCTGTAGGTGGGTGAACACCTCTGGTATAGTGCTGCTGCTGTAGGAGGGTGAACACCTCTGGTATAGTGCTGCTGTAGGAGGGGTGAACACCTCTGGTATAGTGCTGCTGCTGTAGGAGGGGTGAACACCTCTGGTATACTGTAAGAAGGTGAACACCTCTGCTGCTGTAGGTGGGTGAACACCTCTGGTATAAGTGCTGCTGTAGGTGGGTGAACACCTCTGGTATAGTGCTGCTGCTGTAGGAGGGTGAACACCTCTGGTATAGTGCTGCTGTAGGAGGGGTGAACACCTCTGGTATAGTGCTGCTGCTGTAGGTGGGTGAACACCTCTGGTATAGTGCTGCTGCTGTAGGTGGGTGAACACCTCTGGTATAGTGCTGCTGCTGTAGGAGGGGTGAACACCTCTGGTATAGTGCTGCTGCTGTAGGAGGGTGAACACCTCTGGTATAGTGCTGCTGCTGTAGGAGGGTGAACACCTCTGGTATAGTGCTGCTGCTGTAAGAAGGTGAACACCTCTGGTATAGTGCTGCTGCTGTAGGTGGGTGAACACCTCTGGTATAGTGCTGCTGTAGGAGGGGTGAACACCTCTGGTATAGTGCTGCTGTAGGTGGGTGAACACCTCTGGTATAGTGCTGCTGTAGGTGGGTGAACACCTCTGGTATAGTGCTGCTGTACTGGTAAACTGAAGCGCAGGCGAACGTGCCACCAGGAACCACGCACTAGGTCGCCCATATGCGTATCAACAAACTATGTTACTTGAGGCAAAGCTCGTAATCCAATTCAAATTTTACAAAGTAATTGGGCTCGTAACCCGAAAAATGCGTAAAGAGGGTCATTCGTAAGCCGAGGTGTCACTGTACTAGTCATTGTTTGTCTTCAGTGTCCATGTTCAGAGATCCTTTACAATGGTAAATAAAAGGACCGAGTCTTTGGAACTCGCTCTGTGACAAATTAAAAAAATTATCCAATCCTATTCAAAAGTAAAACAAAAAATAGTACCTAATTTCATCCTCATAGTTTCCTACCTTGTGCTTCAAACTCACACTGCATCTTGTACTACCCACTTCCCAATATTAGTACTTAAGACATATATCTTTACCAGTGTAATCACCTCTGTCAATTTATATTGTAGTCATTTGTTGATATTAAACCTTGCTACAATGTACCATTTCATTTTGCTTGATATGTTAGATTAAGGACCGGCCCGAAACACTATGGGTGTTAGTGGATTTGCAAGAATGTACAAATACCAATCTTGTGTAATCTCGCCAACCCATTGTATCGTCTTGTGAATATATTATTATAACAGTGAACATAGTAATTTTCAAAGGTTTTTGAGAACATTTGGTTACATAATGTGTCTTGTTGCAGTTATTAGCATTGATGAATCATCACCAAAACTGAGATTGCGCATAGAAAATGGCTGCAATGTCTCCTTCACATCCTCCTAATGACCCTGACTTAGAAATTAAAGTGAAGAAAGGTATGTATTAAACAACATTTTCATGAAAAATGAGAGGCTACAATATATTTGTGTATGGTAGTGTAGAGGAACATGCAGAAAGTGAAAAAAGAAGGGGGTTCTTCACAGAGCTAAATATCTTATTAATACTGTCAATTATTAATATTTGAATATTATTATTCCTATCAACCCATGGGAAGAGTGCATCACATCTCAATGTTATCACTCACCAGAAAAAATGCAGTCTCACACGGATTAGACCTTTCTTCAAATGGGCAGTTATGATGTGGTAGAGGGCATTGGCAAACATTATTTAGGTATCCTTCAAAAGAATACAAATAATTTGTTTTTTCAAAATTTGCAGTGTCCCTGTGACATTTACGGTAAAACCTTTGCATATTAGCTTCAAACATTCGAGACTTGGGTATAATGGTGCTAGGAAAATCTCTTATTATTTTCAGGTGTGCAATTTCCTGGTAACAGATTTTAGAACTTGAATTAATACTGGTATGTTTTTCTGAGGGGAGCCACGTCAGCTCCCCAGAGCTTTCCAGGCTGATATGCTACTGTCAGACTTTGGCATCAGTCATGTATATAGAGTTTTGAGGGCCTACCATGGACCACGAGCCAGAACCTGGCCCCCTCAGAGGCAAGGGGAGCAATGGCCTATAGAAACCCCTCGTGTGGTTGGAAGCATTCTATGTCTGCCATTGACCGGGTCAGGCACCCAGAAAGGTAAGCGTCCCAAAACAAATCCCTATTCTGGTGAAAATTGCTACCACAAGCCGAACAGGTAGATAGAACTCCCCTAAAAGCAACGAGCAAACGATCATGATGTCACACGTCGCCGTGCCGCTGTCTGCGCAGCTCCTCCCCTCCCCGGGAGGGGGAAGGGGGAGCCCCAGACCTACCACGCCGGCTATCCACCTTCAGTTCTTCGGCTGATGCTAAAGGCTGAGGTCATGTGCTCCGGCTCCGGTGGTTGTTTCAGCACTGTACCTAGAGTGTGGTGACTGTCTTCTAGGTGGTGCGTGATCTGGGAGTGACTCTCCAGTACTCGGGCTGCATGTGCCTAGGGTTTCCTTCCTTAGGTGCCCTGTAAGTACTGCTCTTGGGGCTTGGGGCCACCTACCACAAGTTCTTTGGGTTCTGCCTCTGCTAGGCCGGTTACTGCTTGGTTTTCGGCCGCCCTTTGTGTGCTTGGGTGTTCTGTCTCCCTTGTTTGCCTTGGGGTAAGGGGGCAGTTTTGCACTGGTGGGGCGCAAGGTGCTGTGAAGCTTGTTTTCACCAATCATGGCGGCCGCCTCTGTTTTTCCTGGGTACTCTGTCCTCTTGCAGGGTTTTCTTTTTTCTTTTTATCTGCCTGGTGGGGGGGAGTCTGCCTTCGTTCTTGCCCTGTGTGTCCCCTATGTACTGAGTATTCTTCCTTCTGGTGGTTCCCCCTACTAGGTCCTCGTGAGTGTACACATCCCGGGGGTTCAGTTCTTAGAAGGTTGTTTGGTAGCTTTGGGCACCGGTTAGCAGTACCCTGCCTGGGATTACATTACCTGAGCACGAGTCCTCCTTATGTAAACGCTCAGGACCCTGGAAAACCCCTGGGGGCGCGTGGGTCCGATGGATGTGACCCCGGTGTCCCCCTTCGCTTCCAGCGAGTTTGAGGGTTGCTCTCACTCCTTGTCACAGGGGTGATTCTCTCTGTCTTTGCCTCCGTCTGCTGCCTGTGGGGTCGGTGACACCCTCTGCCCAAACTCTTGCGAGTTTTGTTGTTTATTGTGACTCTGTTACCCAGTCTTATGCTGACTATGCGGGTGCAGGCAGCACCGCCGTTGCACATCACCTGAGGACCACATAAAGAATATTGTGCGAGGAGCCTATGCCACACTTTCTAACTTCAGAATTGCTTTTAAATACATGGCTGGCGATATACTAAAGAAATTGTTCACGACTTTTGTTAGGCCAAAGCTAGAATATGCAGCGGTTGTGTGGTGCCCATATCTTAAGAAGTACATCAACAAACTGGAAAAGGTGCAAAGACATGCTACTAAGTGGCTCCCAGAACTGAAGGGCAAGAGCTACGAGGAGAGGTTAGAGGCATTAAATATGCCAAAACTAGAAGACAGAAGAAAAAAGAGGTGATGTGATCACTACATACAAAATAGTAACAGGAATTGATAAAATCGATAGGGAAGATTTCCTGAGACCTGGAACTTTAAGAACAAGAGGTCATAGATATAAACTAGCTAAACACAGATGCCAAAGAAATATAAGAAAATTCTCTTTCGCAAACAGAGTGGTAGACGGTTGGAACAAGTTAGGGGAGAAGGTGGTGGAGGCCAAGACCGTCAGTAGTTTCAAAGCGTTATATGACAAAGAGTACTGGGAAGACGGGACACCACAAGCGTAGCTCTCATCCTGTAACTACACTTAGGTAATTACCTAGGAAAGATAGCCCTAGGCGCATGCAGCCCAAGTACCGTGGAATCTCACTCCTGGCTCACACCCCACCGGTAGAGACAGTCCACACCACAAGGCACAGAACTGAAACAAAAAACTGGAGCCAGAGGCACTCAACTGACCAGTAATTCCATCAGCCAAGAACTGACAGTTGGATCGCTGGCGTGGAGGGTCTGGGGCGCCCTCTTTCCCCTCCTGGGGAGGGGGGGGGGTTGCGCAAACGGTGGCGCGGCGACGTGATGACATCATGCTCGTTTGATAATTTTGTTTGGGGAGTTCTGTCCACTCGTTCAGCTTTCGGTAGCAATATTTTCACCAGAATAGAGGTTTGTTTTGTGGCGCCTACCTTTCTGAGTGCCTATCCCGGTCGATGGCAGACATAGAATGCTCTCAACCACAAGGGGGTTTCTATAGGCCATTGCTCCTCGTGCCTCTCTGAGGAGGCCAGGTTCTGGCTCGTGGTCCCCGGTAGGCAAGAACTCCTAGCACTTTGACTGATGCCAGAAAGTTATACATATCCATTCAGCCTGAATAGCTCCGAAGAGCCTCCGGGACTCACCCAGAAAATGGTGTTTCATTACATTCAATGCTGGTTTCTTGCATGTACTGCTTTCAATTGATGTTTAGAGCATTTCAAAGAGGCAGGCATCTTAAAAGGGGAAGGTGCCAAAAGGACTATTTAAAGTACTGTATTGCTACTAAAAGTCCAAGTGAAGTGCCAAACCGTTGTGTTTAATGATCTGTGAGTCACTGATTTCTTTCCCATCCAGTTGAGAGCTCTCAATATTGTGACAGTTGCCAGCATGCATTAAACATTTAATTATTTTCACATATACTGTACTGTATAATGATTATTTATACAAACACGAGATATTTTCGAGCATGTGGACCACATGGGCTGTGTGGGGTAGGGCAACCAGCCCATGTGGTTGCCTCAATAATGTTATAGAAAAATGCCATCATAATGAAAATTTTTGTGCCAAAGTGTTGCCACATTTATACCCTATATATATATATATATATATATATATATAGACATGTTTTACTGCATTTTTTTTTTTTTTTTTTTTTTAATTTATCACCAAGTAGTAGTACTGTTGAATTGTGATAGTACCGGTTCTTCATGATGCTGTTTAGTGTTAAATATACTGTATGTTGAATGGATGAGTGTCATAATTTGAGTTCTTTAGTGCAAAACAGTTTCATAACTCTGAAATGTTAAATTTAAAAACTTCTTTGCAGCATTGGAGCGTGTCAGCGAAAATATTCACATATCAGCCAATGAGCCCTCGCTGGCAGTGTACCGCCTTCAGGAACATGTTCGTCGTGCCCTGCCTCCTACTGTCACACGTCGCCAGCATGTTACTGCACTTCATTCACAGCTACAAGGAGCGTGTTATGATGTGGAATATGCTTTAGGGTATGCTGCCTAATCTAAAATTAAAAACGATGTATTTTAACTGTATTGTACCATTTAATTTATGTACAATATTAAATCCTACTTGTTCTCATTAATTTCAGCTTTGATTTAATGTAGGTCTTTCTTTGTTAATTTACAAAATATTTATACTGTACATAGTTTGCATATCTGTTAAAACTTTCATGACTTCAAATAATATCTGAATGGAGCCCTTTCGGCTCTTTGGCGCTATTGAGCTAATATCCAATTCATTAGACCATTATTCATTAGTCATAAGAGTTTAGCCTATCTGGCACCACGAGTCAGAACCTGGCCCTTCAGAGTGGCATGGGGAACAATGGCTCTGGAAAACTACCCCTGTCATTGGGGTTTTTTCTTATCTGCCAGCAACCAGGATTAGGCACCCAGAAAGGTAAGCATAACAAAACAGACCCCACATGGTAAGAAAATGGCAACCGAAAACCGAACAGAGGCGCAGAACGCTCCAATCCCATGGGCGGCACCCCAGACCCCCCCCCCCCCCTGCGCCAGCGACCCAACCATTCCAGTTCGTCGGCTAATGCAATCCAGGGCGGTAGTCAACTTTGGCCTTGATTTCCTACTGTGTTTTGCCTTAGTGGTGTTCTCTGCTGTTTGTGGTGTGATGGCCACGTGTACCTAAAGTGTACCGGGGCTGCATTTGCTTAGGGCAGCCCTTCCTAGGTGCCCTGTGAGTACTACCCTTGCGTGCAGGGTTATCTTCCCTGGTGTGTTCAAGACGCCATTTCTATAGGGGTTTGTAGGGACGTAGGGGCGGCTGTTTGTCAGGGCGCCTGACAGGTGGGTGGACACCGCTTCGGATTTGTAGTCCTGAGGTTCCGGGTTCGATCCCCAGTGGAGACGGAGACAAATAGGCAAAATGTTTCTTTCGCCCTGATGCCCTTGTTACCTAGCAGTAAATAGGTACCTGGGAGTTAGACAGCTGCTACGGACTGCTTCCTGGGGGTGGAGGCCTGGTCGAGGACCGGGCCGCAGGGACACTAAGCCCCGAAATCACCTCAAGATGACCTCAAGATTGGGTAGGGAGTGGTATTGTTGCTGGTTGGGCCATCGAGGTGTTGCACTGCCAGCTTACCTACACAGTGGCTGGTTCCAGTTTCCTCTGGGGACGTTGTACTTTTGTGGGGTATTTCTTTTTTGTTTGCTTTGCCTGGTGGGAGTCTGCCTGGTGTGGCTATTGGACCACTTACAATAATTTGGTGGCCCTCCGCTAGATCCCTGTGATTTTACACATCACGGGGGGGTTTCAGTGTTTTAATCTTCCCCTTGTTAGATTTGGATCTAACCAGTTAGCAACACCTTGCTCGGGTTTCCCGTAGTAGTCAGCCTACGAGCCCTGGAAAATCCTGTCGGGGTTCGGTGAACCTATGGATGTGTCTTCAGAGTTCCAGCTCGCCTCGTCTGAGTTTGAAGATTGCCTGTGCCCTTGTCTCAGGATGCCGGTCACCGCTTTTGCCTCTGTCATGCTGCCTGTTGGATCAACAACACCTTTGACCCGGAGTCTTGCGAATCGTGTTCTCTGCATGTTCTCCAGTTCGCCCAGAATCAGATGCTGATACCATTGATATCCGGGTACAGGCGGCATCCATATTGCATGCTAGGTTTCAATTGCTACAATGCACTTTGTTGGTCGCCCACCCAGATGCCCCGAGGCTGCCTTGTTTTGGTTATAGGGACCCGGATTTGGGGGCGTTTGTTGCTTTGACTTTGATTCAGTCCATGCTTCCTGGTCCTTCCCCTGTTCACCCTGCTCCCATACCCCAGCTTCGGCTCCCAAACGTCTGAGGGTTTCGGAGTCGGTGTGGGGTTTAGTTGGTAATGAGACTCGGGCAGCTTCAGGGCTGCCCTGTTCGGGTTGGGGATGGAGTCATTCGAGCCTGTTCCTCCTGCCGAGGCTTCTGGATCCCACCATCAGGCTCCCTTTTTTTTCTGCCCTTCCCCTGGACTCTGCCTTTTTTTCAGCGGTAGAGAGTATGGAGGATTGCTCTGCCCCGGGTCCCACCTTGGGGGATCCTGGGGCTGGGAAGGAGTTGACCTAGGGGGGGTTGTGCCCCCTTTGACCCCGCTTGGGTGTTAGTGCCCTCTTTGCGGGGCTTAGTGTTGCAGGGGGAGGGGTTTTCTGAGTATGATTTGGGGTTGGTTCTTCCCCGGACTCGGTTCCAGGTTCCCTTGGGTTCCTCGGCTCCATCTTTCCGGGGGTTTTCTGCCTCTCGTATCTCACCTAAGGAAATTCGGAAGGCGCTTGCTGCTTATCTCCTGCGAGACCTGGGTTCTGCCTCTGTGATGGATCCGTCCTCGTTTGAGTTCAGTTCTTCTTCCCCATATTCCCCATATTGGGTACGTTTAGAGGTTCTGTAGTCTTCCTGGCTGGCAAATTGCCCGTTCTTTTTATTGGTGGGCGTGGCATGGGTTCTGTTGTACCTGCACGCTTGATTGGCGAGAAACTTTTACTGTTCTGCAGGTTTACCTGAGGGGCAAGTTTGTGTACCTTAATACATGGTTTGCCCCTGTGCTTCCTCAGGATGTTGTTCTGGTGCAGCTGCACGTGCAGGTTCCCAATCTTTTGGCGTCTTTAGTTTCCGAGGATTTACACGACTGTGGGTGTTTGGATTCGATCTTGCGCTTGTGTTCCCTTCTCGAGTTGTCTTCAGACTGGCTTGAGGAAGATGTGGAGGCATTGAGTGCTGGGACTTGTCTGGTGCATTGGCCTCGGCAGCTAGGGCGTTGGCCGCACTGTTGTGCAGGTTGTTTGCGCCGATTCTCAAGAAGGCATTGTCTCTGTTCTTTGCTTCTCGCCTTGCGTGTTGAAAAACTGTGCTCGCTCTTTTTGGAATCCGCTTGGGCGCTGGCTCTTAGCTTTTCGTTGCCGTTTTGTCTGTTGCTGTTTGCAGAGTCTGCGGCCCTGCAGTTTCTGCAGGCAGCTTCGTCTAGTTGTTGTCCTATGTCAGACTTGTTGGTTCTCCGGGGTGGCCATTTTCAGCCTTCTCGGATGGGTCGTGCCAGGGCTCGGGGTTCCTTTGGTCAGGTTGGATCGTTGGTGCCAGTTTCTGAGGCGACATTGCCTTCGGAGCCGGCGTCATCTAGTCGGCTTGGTGATCGCTCTGTTCGTTGGTTGGCTTCTCGTAAGGGGCGACAGCTCTTTCGTGATTCGCCCTGTTGACGGGGCGATGTGGGGAAGGATTACTCTAGATCCTATGATTTGTGGTTGTTTTGGGTCGTATTCACCGGGTCTGTGGTGGCATTGGGCTGCTGCTCCTCCTTCAGGGGGTTCAGGGATGGTGGGGTAGGCTTCTTCCCCTGTGCTCCGTCGGGTCATCGTAGAGTTGGTACTCTTAGGCATGATCGAAATCACCCCATCCCTCAGGTGGGTTTCCCGCCAGTTTCCAGTGCTGAAACGGGACTTTGCAGATCTGAGGTTTATTCTGGACTTGTCCTGTCTGAACCCCCTGGATTCCTTGCCCCCCTCCTTTTGGATGACTACTGTCTCAGGTCCAGCTTCTGTTGGAGCCAGGTGCCTGAATGGTGTCCCAGGACCTCCAGGATGCATATTGGCACGTTTCCATTCATCTGGGGTTCAGGAACTGGTTAGGTTTTGTGTTGGGGCGTCAGCCTTACCATTTTTGTTGCCTACCTTTTGACTTGAATCTGGTACCTCGAGTATTCATGCATCTTACCTGGGTCGTGGTGACTCGTCTGCGCCTGCTAGGGGTTTGGGTTCTGGCTTACCAGGACGACTGGTTAGTGTGGGCGGAACCCGATAGCTCCAGGCTTGCCTAGAAAATAGCATTTCATCACATTCAATGCTGTTTTTTTTTTTTTTTTATATAATCAGTAGTAATTGTATGTCACAAAAGTCAGGCTTTGGCTATTAAAAGAACTTTTCTAAACATATAAATCTTAGGTAAATATTCTGTATACCAACTGGTAGATCATTTATGTAGACAATAAACATCACTGGTGCAAGAACTGAACCCTGTGGTACTCCACTTGTGACATTTCTCCAGTCCGATACATTGCCTCTGATCACAGCCCTCATTTTTCTATCAGTCAGAAAATTTTTCATCCATGTTAGAAGCGTACCTGTCACTCCTCCAATATTTTCCAGTTTCCAAAACAACCTCTTATGTGGAACTCTGTCTAAAGCCTTTTTTAGGTCCAGACAGATGCAGTCAACCCAACCATCTCTTTCCTGTAATATCTCTGTTGCTCGATCATAGAAACTGAGTAAATTCGATACGCAGGATCTTCCAGATCGAAAACCATACTGTCTGTCTGATATTATATAATTTCTCAACAGGTGTTCTACCCATTTAGATTTAATTATTTTTTCCAATATTTTGACTATTACACTTGTCAATGATACCGGTCTATAATTAAGGGGGTCTTCCCTGCTTCCACTTTTGTAGATTGGAACTGTTAGCCTTTTTCCACACATCAGCTACAACTCCTGTAAACAGGGATGCCTGAAAAATCAGTTGAAGAGGAATGCTGAGCTCAGGTGCACATTCTCTCAGAACCCATGGTGAAACTCCATCTGGACCAACTGCTTTGTTCTTATTTAGCTCCTTGAGCATTTTTTCCACTTCGTCTCTAGACACCTCTATGTGCTTTATGTTGTTCTCTGGTGAACAGGTGTGGTGAACCCCGTGTATCCGCGGGCCGTTTAAATCTTGCGTAGTACTCCAAAGCATCATATGATGCGATGCGCAATTTACTGCAAGTCGGTCAAAGCATCATATGATGCGATGCACAACTTAAGGGTTAATAGGGAATGTGTCCATAAACAATAGTGAGAATATTTTGTTAAAGTTTATCTTGTCTTTTCAGTGCTGTGAGAGTGATGAAGGATGCAAGTGAAAAGTTCACTTCTCTGCAGGAGCTCTTGAAGAGTGCCATATTTCATCGCCAGCAGCTGAAGTACGAACAGACACGCAGGTATTGTATGCAGTGTCAGCTGGTTGAGAATTAACCTTCAAACAACCAGTGCCCATTTTGCCAGTATTGTTTGACACAGTAATCATGATGAAAAGCAGGAAAATTTTGAAGGTGTGGACTAAGTGACCTTTCTTTACTTATTTGGAGAATGTATGATGATCTGAAATAAGTGAATATTGTTTAGTATATTCAGTTAGTATTGTGAAGTGTAGGAAGTCATCCATATTTCACCTGTCTCCATGTGTGCTTTTCTGTGGGGAGCCCCTTTGGCTCCCTGGAGCTATCCAACTGATATGCGATATATTAGTCTGGGGCGTCAGTTAATTGGACGTCAGCCTAACCGGGACCATGAGCCAGAACCTGGTCCCTTCAGAGAGGCAAGAGGAGCAGTGGTCTATGAACCCCCCCCCCCCTTTTACAATGGGGCATTCCATGTCTGCCATCGACTGGGGTTAACACCCAGGAAGGTAGGCATAACAAAACAGGCCCCACATGGTAAGAAAAATTGCAACCACAGACCGAACAGAGAGGCAGAACTCCCCTTGATTTAAAAAAAAAAAAATAAGTTAACAACCAAACATCACACCCCAGCCACTGCGCTGCTTGTTCGGGCAGCCCTCCCCTTCCCCAGGAAGGGGAGCCATAGACCCCCTGCACCAGCTACTCGTACCACCAGTTCGTTGGCTGATGCGATCTGGGAGCCTGGATTTTGTCCCCACTGGTTTACCCGTTGGGCAGGGTTTGGCTTCTGAGGCTGTTCTGGTCTTTTCGGGGCAGCCACTTTTGCAACTCTCACAATTGCTGGCTGTGGATTCTGGGAACCCTATGCTGGCTGCTGTGTCGCCAGCTTCCTCTTTGGACTTTTTGTGGTTCGGTTCCCTGGCATGTCCCATCTGCTGTCTTCCAGGCACCAGTATGTGGTTTCTTGGCAGTCTTTGCCACTCTCTTTCCCTTTGTTGTTGCTCTTCAGCTGAGTGGGTTGTTTTGTTCTTTCTCTCTGGGCTTTTATTTGATTGTCATTTCATGCAGAATACTGTCAACTCTTATTGTGCGGTGTTGGTGGACCTGCTCTGTCTCTTGCGTTCAGGGTTGACACCACTTCAGCCACGTATTGCAAGCTTTCTCGAGCTTTGTTTCGCCACCTGAGCCTGCCTGGTATTCCTAGATTCCATTCGGTAGTCGGTAGTCTTTCCCTAGGCTTCCGAGGTTATTCCCTTCACAGAGGTCAGTTTGCCCGGTAATTGATAGGGATCAACTGGCCTTGCAGCAACAGTGCCTAGGCTTCTGTAGGGACACATCTCCCTGCAGGCCATGGAAACTCCCATCAGGGCTTAGTTTATTATATATATGTCTTCCAAGTCCCCTATCACCTTATGCAAGTTTGGAGGTTGTTTGTTGCCCTTGTCTCAGATTGACAATCAAATATTTTGCCTAAGTCATTCTGCTCGTTGGGTCGGCGACACCTTCGACCCAGAGTCGTGCGAGACTCGTTCTCCGCTCGTTCTCCAATTTACTCATTCTTCTTCAGGAGATTTAGGGGTTAAGCAGCTGTCATATTGCAGGTTTTTGTTGTTGCAATGTGGTAGGTTGGTCGCCCGCTCGGATGCCCTGGGGCTGCGCCATTTTGGTTTTAGGGACCATGACTTTGGGTGGGGGGGGAAGGGTGTTAGTTGCTTCGACCTTGGTTCAGTGCACTCTGTCGAGTCCTTCCCCAGTTGGTGTGGTTCGCCCTGCTCCTCCCCTCTTGCTGCCGACTTCCAAACATCTGAGTGTTTCGGAGTTGGGTACAGGGCTTAGTTGGGGATGAGACTCGGGCGGGACTGAGGGCTGCCCCATTCGGAATCCTTTGAGCCTAATTCTCCTGTCGAGGCTTCTGGGTCTTCCCAGCAGACCCCTCTTCTTTGCTGCCTTTCCCTTGGACTCTCCCTTGGATTTTTTTTTCCTTATGGTGCTTTTTCTTCAAGGGTGGAGGGCGTGGAGGACGGCGCTGCCCCGGAGCCTGGATTTGAGGCTTCCAGAGCTGGGGGAAAAATCAGCTTAGGGCTCTTGGGTCTAGTTCTATCCTGCCTGGGCCTTGGCGCCCTCGAGGTGGGGTTTGCTGTTGCAGGGTTCGGGGACTTTCATATCCCCCTTTCCTGTACAACTTTCATTTAAGTTCGGCTCCCCCACGAGAGAGTTCCTTTGGGTTCCATGGCTTCGTCCTTCCAGAGGTTTTCTACCTCTTGGATTTCCCCTAAGGAAGTTCAGGAGGCCATTTTTGCGAACCTCCTGCGAGACCCGGACTTTGCCTCTGTGATGGACCTGTTCTCCTTTGAGTTCGGTTCCTGTTCCCCATATTGGGTGTGTTATGAGGTTTCAGCAGCTTCCTGGTGGGCAGACTGCCCTTCTTTTCACCTTGGGCAATATCTTGAGGTCATCTTGAGATGATTTTGAGGCTTAGTGTCCCCGCGGCCCAGTCCTCTACGAGGCCTCCTTTTTTTGTTACACACCCTTACAAAGCAGCCTGTAGTAGCTATCTAACTCCCAGGTACCTATTTACTGCTAGGTAACAGGAGCATCAGGGTGAAAGAAACTCTGACAATTTGTTTCCGCCTGCACCGGGGATCAAACCCGGAACCTCAGGACTACGAATCTGAAGCGCTGTCCACTCAGCTGTCAGGGCATGGTAAGGGTATTGTAGTACCCGCACGCTGAATTGACGGAAGGTTACTACTGTGTTACAGGTTTACTTGGTGGGGGGGTGCTTTTGAGCACCTCAATGCGTGCCTTTATGCCCCTGTGCTTCCTTGTGAGGTTGGCTTGCTCTAGTTGCACGCTCAGGTTCCCTTCCTCTGCCTTGGTTGCAGAGGATCTTCGCGCTCAAGGGCATCTGGCCTTGGTCTTGTGCTTCTTTTCCCTTCTCGAGTTGTCCTCGGACTGGCTTGTGGAAGATGTGTAGGCGTTGAGTGCCAGGCCATCGTCTGGGGCATTGGCCTAGGCTGCTAGGGCATTGACAGAGTTGCTGAAACTGTTTGTGCCAATCCTCCGGGAGGCAGTTTCTCTGTTTTTTGCCTCTTGCCTCATGTGTAAGCAGGCTGTCCTCGCTCTCTTTTAATTCTGCTTGGGCCCTGGCTCTTAAGTTTTTGTTTTCTTTCTGTCCATTGTTCTCAGACGCGATTGTTTCTTAGTTTTTGCAGGTGGCTTCTGCCAGTTGCCGTCCTCTTTCTGATTTGTTGGGCATTCTCGCGCTTCCTGCAAGAGTCATGCCAAGACTCGGGTTTCGGCAGGTCGAGGTAGGCCCTTTGTGCCAGCTTCTGAGCCTGTGCCTCCTCTGGAGCTGTCTTTGTTTTGTCAGCATGGTGGTCGCTCTGCATGTACGATGGCTTCTCGGAAGGAGCGCCGGCCCTTTCGTCGGTCGCCCCGTTGACGAGGTGCTGGGTGGAAAGACTGGCTCTGTTTGCTCATGCTTAGTCTAACAATTCGTGGGCGTTTCAGGGCTAATGGGGCAGGCTTTTTTCCCTTCGCTCCATTGGGTCATCTTGGAGTGGGTGTGCTTAGGCATGGTCGAAATGACTACGTCCCTCTTGTGGGTTTCTCACTGTTTCCAGTTCCAAAATGGGAACGTGTGAATCTTTGGCTCATTCTGGATTTGTCCTGTCTGAACTGCTGGATTTCTTGCCCCTCCTTTCGGATGACTACTCTGTCCCAGGTCCGGCTTCTCTTGGATCCGGGTTCATGGATGGTGTCTCCGGGATGCGTATCGGTACGTTTCCATTCATCCAGGGTTCAAGGCCTGAGTAGGTTTTGTGGTGGGGTGGTAGGCTTACAGCTTTCGTTGCCTTCCCTTCGGGCTGAATCTGGCACCTCGCATTTTCAAGCATCTTACCCGGGTCATGGTGGCCCTGTCTGTGTCTGCTAGTTGTTTGGGTGTTGGCCTCCCTCGACGACTGGTTGGTGTGAGCTCCCAGCCAGTATGCTTGTCTGCTCGCCAGGGGTTTGGTTCTTTCCCAGCTCGCCAGGTTCGAGTTCCTGGTGAACTAGAGGAAGTCCATTTGGTTCCGTTCCAGGTTCAGACTTGGCTGGGTCTTGTTTAGGATTCTTGGATGGCGTCCGAGTCTCTCCTTCCTACAGCTTTGCTCTGGCTACAGTCCCGCCTTCGGCTGTTCTTGAAGGGGTCGGGGTCACTCAGCGGTTGCTCGAGCAGCTGTGCAGGAATTAGAATTTTGCTATACTGGTTTACCCGCTGGGTCGTGTTTGGCTTCAGAATCTGTTCTGGTTCTTTTGGGTCCATCCCCTTCCACTGCTCTCGCGATCGTTGGGTTCGTCCTTTGGGAGCCTTGCATCGGTTGCTTCATCTCCAGCTTCCTCTTTGGGTTTTTTGGGGTTCGATGCCTTAGCACCTTCTGGAACCCTCGCTCAATGTGTTCACGGTCACCTCATCTCCCGGCTGGGGCTTTGTGACCAGTGCACACCAAGCCGGCCAGGGGCGGTGGGCTCCGTTGTTCCATTGGGATCACAGCACGGTGCAGGAATTTGTGGCGGTGTGGCTTTCGCTGTGGTGGATTCAGTTGCTCGAGGCTCTACGATTCGGCTCTATTCGGACTGTGCCTCGGTGATTCATTGTCTAAACTGCGGGGGGGGGGGGGGGGGGGGGGTTCTCTTCGGTCTTTGGCTCTCTGGGGCTGGTCGCTTCGAGTAGCTCTTCTGCGGAGTTCTTGGGGTTTAGCTCTCCATGCGGTTCATATAAGTGGCATGTCCAACGTCCTGGCGGACGGCCTGTCTCGGTTCATTCTTCTGTCCATAGAATGGATGGTCGACGCCGACTCCTTCAGTTGAGGTTTGTCGGACGTTTGGGCCCCGGAGGTGGACCTATTTGCGTCGGCATGGTCGCGGCATCTTCCAGTGTATGTGGCACCCTTTCCTGACTGCAAAGTTGTCGCTGTCGATGGTCGCGGCAGGACTGGTCGAGGTGGGAAATACCTGTACTGCTTCCTCCCTGGTCTAGCTGTTGCTTCTGGTTC